TTTCGGTGAGGTTAAGGAGGTGATAATAATCACACACGTATACTCAATTTTGGATAATTGATAGGGTATTTATTTGATTTCACAATAACAATCAGCAATCAATTTTCAATCTATAATAATGATATGAAATTTGACTTAGATATAGCATAAATTTAGTGTAATATAAAGTCCAAGTAATACAAATACAATAGGAACCAATTAACATAATATATGGTAAATTCAAAGTAATATAAATTCAATGTTAAGTACAAAATATCAATGACCGTTCAAGCATTTGCATGAACTAGTCACCTCCCGCGGGTTGTGAGTTGAATGCAGAAAAATCTAGATGTCATCAAAAGCCTTGATTTTTCGGTCTACTAAATTTATGCTGAGTCGTTATCATACCAAAAAAAAAAAAACAGAACGAAATAAGTTAAATTATATAATTTGGTTTATTACAATTTCGCATAATTCTTGTTAGGACATAATAAAACTCGTATTGACGTTATATTGAATAAAAGAACTGAGCAAGAAATCGAAGCGGAAACATTATAGAAAAGTAGCCCACGATTGACAATGACAGTTAAACTCCTTAAATGTAACTTTTGATAATTAAAAATTTCAAAAATTGATGACTCCCGGATTATTTGAAATTAAATTTGTACAGCGTTTTAAAGTGACTAGTTATTACTATGAGCGCTGGGCCCGCTGAACATTTCTCCAATTGTACAAAGTTTATAAATAACTTTAACTTTTCATGCCAAATTATAATGTTACATTGAAAAAAAAATCACATGCTATAACCTCTATCTTCCACTTACTAATTATAATACAGGTCGACAAAATTTTTAAATGGACAAAAACCTAAAAACGCGATAGTATATTTCAGTAGATTTTCGAAGCGTTGAATCCAAATCTGGCTTTAGAAATGATTCATTACCTAAGATTATTGAGACATCATAATCTAAATTTGCGAACATCACGATATTTCGCTATATTCGAGATTATGTAACACCGTAATTAACTTTTTTTTTTTTTTTCAAAAACAAGTAGTCATAATAAAGCAGCACTCTTGCCCATTAAAATACATTTTTTTGGATTACAATTATCTTTTTTTTCATTAAGATATCATGATTTTAGTTAAGTATTTTAGCAGTTTTACAACAACATTAAAATCATAGGTTACAGAGGTCAGAGGCTAAGGCAATTGGTAAATTGTTGAACCCCGAATGCCTTAATCTCCGATCTCTATAACATGCGAAGCCCCCCAATTTCTTGAACCCAGCCCCCGACCCCTGTAATATGTGACGATGTCATTCCAGACACTTGAACCTAATTAATTTAAATTTTTGACTCCTGTAATCTGTGATTTTAATTTTAGCAAAATTGCTAAAATATTAATATCAATTCATGATATCTCAATGAAAAAAAGGTATCTTTAATCCAAAAAAAATAGGTTTACAGGGCAAGAATGCTGCTTTACGATGACTTTACTGGTTTTTGGGAACAAAATTGTATTCACAATGTTATAAAACCTCGAACATAGCAAATAATCGTGATTTTGACACTTTTTAGTAAGGATCTCTCGTGAATCTTAGGTGATGATCAATTCTAAAATCAGATTTGGATTCACTACTTTTTTCAATTATAGGTCTGTGTAATCAATAGAGGCTTCACTTCTCATCAATTTCGTTTTTAATTAGGATTTTTATAGAAATAAATGCACTAAATCATTAGAAAAAATTTAAAACATTTTTGTTTTTTGATCAGAATGCAATTATTGTAATCTGTCGAAGGAATAGGCATATTTCTTATTACAGTAATGCACACACCTAAATATCAATTGGTAACATAAGTCACCATTTCTGTGGAACAATACTCTATCAAGAAATACATCTCATCATACAAATACATAACCTAAAATTGGATTGTAAATGTCTTCTCTACTATAAAAACAATGTCATTTCATCTGAAAATTTGTATTAATAAGAAGTAAACTAGTAAGTTGAAGCGAACTATTGTCTGAAACATACACGCGCAAATACATACAATAACCTAATAACCTAAATATTTAGTTGATTGGTTATCGGTTATCAGGTTATCCAGTTGGATTTCAGGTGGTTACTTGATTTTGAAAAATAATTTTCTCAAAATAGCGTGATATTAATTTTATTTTAAGCAAAATATTAATTTTAGTGAACATTGGCCCACGGAAGGAATTTTACACCAAAACGACTGAAAATTTCCACTGTGCGCCGTCTTGAAGTACTTTGCAAGTGCTTATTGAAAAATAACCCATTCCTATTAGTACAGCTCTTACACTTACATCCTTAAGAAAGTATTATCTTTGTTAGAATAGTTGATATTGCTGGTTATTTGAAAAATAACTCATGCTTATGGCTATAGCTCTTTTCAAAGCAAAGTCCTTAAGTCTATATTACTTGCTACTCTTTGAGATTCACGTATCGCTGTCAAAAATTATTAATAGTATTAATTTCTTAATTGAATGGTTAGTATTTTGATTTAATATAAAAACAGTATGCGACTTTTACGAACGATTCAATGCATTTTTGTAAGATAATTTTTGTATTGTAACGGGGTTAATACCGTTTATTCAATTTAATGCGCACGATCGTATCGAAGAGCGCGCGTGATTACCTATACGTTCAAACACGAAAATCGGAGAGCAGGAGGGAACGGGTATCAGTCAATCAACTATCTGCTATTGAAATAAATACGATAAAATTCTAATCAATATCACATGCGAGATCGTTTATTTCCTCTAAACTGTACACTGTATTCGGCCCGCGTGTTTATGTTTACAAGACGCTCGCGCGACAATAACATGCGGAGTCAGATCGCTCGCCGCTCTTTGTTTGCCGAGATAATACATGCTCGTTTTCTAGCGAGTATGAGAGATTAGTTATTTAGCAATTCTGTCGCGATCGCGAAATTAAGCTGACCAGCTTACCTTATTAATTCTCGCACAGGAAACAAGTGATACGAAGAAGGAGGCTCTTGCAGCACACACTAGTCTTTCGGCGAACGTTTGTATGCGAGTGATGCTGCCTCTCGCTCACGGTTTCGCCCTCGATGGCGAAACTCTCCACTCACGCACGCTTACACGCACACTCGTAGTGCTCAGTATCAGGCACGGCTCCTGCAGGCTTGGATCAGCTCGTCTCGGCACTCGGAAAACTCGGGAAAATCTTCAAGATATTCGCTGCACGGCTCGGCGATCGAATTCTAATCCTCGACTGGTTCGTTTTTGTACGCGCGCGTTCCGTGACGTCTCGTATCGAATTCCCTCAATACATTTCGCCCCAACCGGCAGGTGCTGCCCTCGCCGGCAGCCACATGGTTAGACTGATAGCGCTAATACGACGTTTACCGTCACAGTATTTATCAAATCAAAATTGCACAGTTATTAATGAATTTTGCTATCCTTGTGAATTATACAGTTTTTTTATAATTTTTTTCGGATCGATTGCTGTCGACTTTCTGCTGAGTTCCTTCATTCTACTGTATTTTAGTTCAAGCATCTATCAAAGTGAAGTAGCAAACTCGTTGAACGTGTAACAAAACTCGTTCCTTTGTTACCAATTCTTTGCGGGGTAAGTGAGGCACTTTCGCTCAAGGCAATTGAGGGAGAAGAACGAGGAAAGGTTGATAAATGAATTATAGAAAGATAGAAGTTAAATCTCACTTACAACCTATTATTATTAATAATTATTCACACTAAACATACGCGCGCATAACATAATCTAAATTACCGACCAACAAACTACAAATAGAACAATAAACTACTTAAGATAGTCACAAATAACACTTCGCATTCCATCCTAATACCTAATCGCGTACTTAACCTATTACAAACTTACTTAAAAACTACGCGAACTAATACCGGGTAAAGTGCCCGGCACGTGGGCGCCTGGACAATTCACCGGTCGCAACTTACATCACTATAAATTAAACTTATCGCGAACCTTCAGATAGCCGGCACGTGAGTGCCAGGCTATCTCTTTCAACGCGCACCGGCCGTCACATCAACAGAGAGAGAGAGAGAGAGTGTAGAGAGAAAGAAGAAAAGGGAGGCTTGACCTTTTATCTCCTGTTCCTCGCAACGTCGAGAATCCTGAGCGATACGCTGCCGCAAGAAGTACCGGGCGTCGTCGCTGGTCAGATCGCTGGTAGCTGCTGGCTGCTATCGCTGATCCAGGTATCCGCAGGCGACGTTGACTTTCCTAGCAGGTGGGTCGGCTGCAGTCGCGGACAAAGCCGTTGCCGGTAGGGTTAATCTTCCAGCTATCCCAAACTGCACTCTCTGTACGACTACTACACTCTAGCTGGACTGGGCTTCGACTCTCTCTCTAATAGGACTGGGCTTCGACTCCTCTCACGCACTTATTCTTGCGCTCGTCTTGCAGCCGCTCAGCGGCGCTCGCTCCTCTCCCTACCTTGACCTATTAGTTAGGCGGCACGCGACGCACCGCTTATCGGTCACGCGTTGCGCGCCTGCCTATCCCTGCATGGGCCTAGTACTCTTTCTCTCTCTCTCTCTTTTTCTCACTCTCTCTCCGCGCTCCTCAACTTTTCTTGCGCTCAACTGCGCTGGCCCGTCCTTGGCGCTGAAACAAAAAGACCAAGTGTTAGGCGCATACTTTAATGCGCCTAACGTTGGCCAACACGCCTTGCCGAGTGGAGGAGGGAGAACGCAGACGAGAGACCGGCACACGGCCTGCTCTCGTCACAAACGTGTTTTCCTTCTCAAGTTATAGGATTTCTTATATTTTCATTCCCTAGGATTAGTGTATAAATCTGTGTGTATGCGTCTGTACATATATGCGAGAGTTGAGCATGTCAAGGCGAAAAGTCTGCATGCATTTATGAAACTTGGTAGTGTAGTATTTGCACGAATGTGTATGTGTTTAAATTCCTTTTCTTATGTCATTAAAGAAACGTTATCCAAACGTCAAATGATCGACGAAAGATTTTATCTAAAAAATAATGGATTGCAGGTAACGGAACAGCGAGAAACGCTACGGCGAGAACCGAAACGGAGATCGGAATGTCGACAACAAATTAGAGGCAATAGAGCAATGGCTCGTGATTATTCTATTACACAATTCGCTCAAATCGATGATGATAATGTCTCAGTTCTGCAACAAGTAACACGAGGTGGCGGCGGTTTGACGCTTGCTTCACAATGGAAGTCACAATTCGACGATTCGGAAGAAACAGATAATGAATGGAAGGCTGAACACCTTCAGAGTCCTGAACATAAAGGAAACCACGCATCTTCGTCAATGCCTGAGGTAATTTTACTAGATTATGCGTAAGGTGAAGACCATTTAATAATATTGAAATAATGGTACTATGATAATTTTTCACTAGATTAAGAATATAGCTAAAGTTCTTAACAACTCGACTAGTCAAAATTATTATTTTGAAAACGTAACAAGAAGTTGAATCAAATACTTTTCTTATATAACCTTAATAACATTTTACAAAGATATACATTTTGAATTTCATTTATATTTTGGGGTAAGATATTTCAATAAAATTCTTTTATACTCTATAACTTTTATCTTAGATTTTAAAACGAAATATTTCATTTCTTCAATAAACAAAGAATATTATATCTTTCAAAAATACTTCTACTCTACAATTATAAAGTAAATTGGAATGAAAATATTTTATTATTTTATTCTACTATTACAATTGCGTGAAACATTGTAGTAATTTTATCATACAAAAATATTTTTAGCCTTTTTCAAAGAAACTAACTAATTTAATTAGTCAAATTTTTAGATGATCGAGTGAAATATGATTAAAAAATCGATAAAGAAACATAAGTACCTAACTTTGCGAACGTATATCTTTACGGAAAAAAAATCGTATGAAAATAGGATTTACAAAGCGTTGAAGCTTGAAATGTCTTGTGTATTGATTGTATCAGCGGTTCTTATAAATCAATGAGCTAAGCTAAATTGATAATCAGAGGGGAAAAAATATGGACTTTCGAGCTTTTTCAAACACCGGTAACTTTGCACAGCAGCCATTATGTTGACAAAGCTTGAAACTTCGAGAAAATATTTAGTTTATAGTTAAAAGTCTCCATGAAGCAACAGCGATGGAATTAAAAAAATATTACTTAGTTTATATAACATAGTAAAATATAAAGTTTTGAACTTTATGAAATAATCACAATGTTGTTCTTCGAGGTTGAGCAAGACTTTTACTAGACATGCGCGAATCTACTCTTCTATTTTAATAAAAATTACAAAGGTCGACAAAATATGACCAAAGTCTAGAACCAGAGATCAGACCTAGTGTACCTAAAGTATTTTAGTTCACTGAAACTGAATCCAAGCTCAGAATTTAGCCTATAGGTCAGAGTTCCAAGATATTCTAATCTAAAAGGCTCAAAAACACGTTTTTTTGCAATATTTGAACCTCTCTAACTTAGTGAAAAAATATTTTCTTTTAAATGGACAAGGGCATCTTAAAGCTCTATATTTTTACTTCAAAATCCACTAGTCGTTTATGTAAATACCATTTTTTCTTCCACATCCACGGCGGATTGAAAAGTGAAAATTTCCATTTTCGTGAATGTAACTTTCAGCGTTGTAACGGTCCTATCTATGAGCTATTTTCTCATTTCACTGAATTACTGCAACTCGCTAAACTTATCAATCTGTTTAAATCAATTGGCATATTAAACAGCGCCACCTCATATATTATATGATTGTCTTAGTACCAGAGTCAAATTTCATCACCATATAAGAAGCGTGACGTCACCTACTTATAGATATACAGAGTGTCCCAGATCACCCGTCCACCCCTTCTAGTTTTTCAAAAACGCATTTTCAAAAAATATGAAACATACGAAATGTCAGTAAATCAGTCAAGGATTTCAGCGGCGGTCTTTAATTTGACTTTGAAAATGATTTTCATGGGTATCTCATGGTCAACTTGATTTTTTTAAATAGGAACCCCTACTTTTGCAAACTTAAATTAATGGATATTTTTTTCTTCATTAAGGTGTCGACTTCAAGCCACGTCATTCGAATGAATATTTAAGTTTCATAGTTTCCGAAAAAAAGTTTATTAACATTTGTAATTTAACTCGTGAAACCGATGGCTTGCAATTATCTGAAAGTCTTCACATGTTAAATTGCAAATGTTAATGAACTTTTTTTCTCGGAAACTGTGCCCCTGATAAAAAAATTTATAAAAATACTTTTGACTCAAAATTTCGTGCTCTTTAAGAATTCAAGGTCAAAAGTAGGGGTTGCTATTTAAAAATCCAAGTTGACCTTGAGATGCTCTTGGAAATAATTTCCAAGGGCAAATTAAAGGTCACCGCTGAAATCCTTGACTAATTTACTGAAATTTTGTATGTTTCATATTTTCTGAAAATTCGTTTATGAAAAACTAGAAGGGGTGGATGGGTGGTCTGGGACACCCTGTAGATATAATAGTTTTTAAGGATAAACCAACTCTTCCAATTAGTGGACAGGTTATTAAAGTAGCTAAAGGCTAAAAATCGATGAGATTGAAGAAACAAATTTATTTAAATGTAAAACGGGGTAATCAATATATTGATACTATCTTCATAATCATTCCTGAATTAATAAAAGATTGTATTATCAGTTATGATACAATGAAAAATATAAAGCTCAAACTTGATACATATAATAAACAAATTTATTTTGAAATGAATAATATTTTAGAAAACTTGAAATATAACAATACCTTTATAGATAAAAGTACTTTTCAAAACTTAACTATTCAGTATGATACTGTCTCGGAATTCAGTAATGATCTGCCATCGCTCATTGATCTAACTTGAAACGAAATAGACGCAGGGATCGCAAAAGATGATTCTGTGAATCTAACTCGAGGGAAAATTAATGAGAAAATAGATGAAAGCTCTAGCCTAACCGATGCTCAAAATATGAGATAGCTTCGCTTGTGTGCGAATTTAGAGATGTATTTCGTAAAAAACTAGGTTTATTAAAAGTATACGAGGGTTGCTACTTATATTTTGAGCCTTGGCAATACTAAGTGTTTAGAGGCGCCATCTGACGTTTCCAGTGGAAAGTTTGACATTTTTAACCATAACCTTCTTCAGAACATTTTTTCATTTGAGTGCAATTTGTGTTGTTCACGGTAACTTGAAAAATTCATCTCGGGCAAAAAATGGAATTAACTCGTGAGCATTTTCGTGCGATGATTTTCTACGACTTTCGACGTGGGCTATCAAGACAGGAGTGCATCGATCAACTTACTTCGACTTTTCGCGATGAAGCCCCATCCCTTGCCACTGTGAAACGCTGGTATAACGAATTTAATCGTGGCCGTAGTTCGCTCGGGGATGAAAATCGTGAAGGTCGTCCAAAATCAGTTGTTGTGCCAGAAAACATTGATGCTGTGCACGAACTAATATAGCAAGATCGGCATGTAACATATCGTGAGATTGAGGCATCCTTGGGCATTAGTATGATGAGCATAAATAAGATATTGCATGAACATTTAGCTGTAAATAAGATTTGTTCGCGTTGGATCCCCCATAATTTAACAAAAGCTCAAAAAGATGCTCGCATCAATTGGTGCAAAGAAATGCTCAAAAAATACAATCGCGGTGCATCAAACGCTGTGTATAACATCTACACAGGTGATGAATCTTGGATCTATGCATATGAGCCCGAAACAAAACAGCAATCCACTGTATGGGTCTTCCAAGACGAGCCGAATCCAACAAAAGTGATTCGTGCGCGAAGCACTTCGAAGCAAATGATCGCCTGTTTCTTTGGAATAACTGGACATGTGGCAACTGTACCGTTAGAGCATCGTAGAACAGTGAATTCTGAATGGTACACAACCATTTGTTTGCCAGAAATGCTTGGTGAAATACGAAAAAAGAAGCGACAACGAAGGATCATTCTTCATCATGACAATGCAAGCTCTCACACATCAGCTAAAACAACCTCCTATTTGACTGGCCAAAACGTTGAATTGATGGGTCATCCTCCATACAGCCCTGATTTAGCACCGAATGATTTCTTTTTATTCCCGCATATCAAGAATAAATTGCGTGGACAACGTTTTTCGGCGCCTGAAGAAGCCGTTGATGCATTCAAAAACCATGTTTTGGAGGTACCTCAATCAGAGTGGAAAAAGTGTTACGAAAATTGGTTCGAGCGCATGCAAAAGTGCATTTATCATCATGGAGAATACTTCGAAAAACAATAAAGCCATTTTAGATAATAAATTACTGTCTTTTCATTATTAGGCTTAAAATATAAGTAGCAACCGTCGTATACTCATAAATTGATTTTAAAAGATAAAAAACCTTATATTTTTCAACATTGTTACGGAGTGAAATTTATATCTAGATTTGATTTGACAAGTAGTTTTTGGCAAATTCCTCTCGAAGAAGAAAGTAAAAAATATACGACATTTATTATCGTAGGTAATACCTACGAATCCAATGTAGTACCTTTCGGTACATGCAGTAGTACAGCAGCAATAGTAAGAACTTTAAATTTATCAATTGGCGGTTTAAAACAATTTATAATTCCGTTTGTTGATGATATATTATGTATTTCTAAAACATGCAATGAACATATACATCATTTACGTAAACTATTTACATGCTGTCGTAGAGATTTTATACATTGAATATATATGATGTATAATACATTCAATTATACATTGAAATTTGTGAAATCTAAATTAGTTCAAGAAGAAATTGAAATTTTAGAACATGTTATCACACCATACGGTATAAAAGCTCAAAAAAGTAAATTAGAAATAATTCAAAATTATAAAGCTTCAAAAAACCTAAAATGCTTGCAAAGCTTTCTTGGATTTGTAAATTTTTATACAAAGTTTACGAAAAATTATGCTGAAATATGTAAACCTTTAATAAACTTATTGCAACAAAGCAAAGGCTATCAATGGTTACCTGAGCATGAATCAGTATTTGAAAATGTAAAAAAGAATTTTATTGATACTATTACTTTGAAATTTCTTGATCCTAGTAAACCTTTTATATTAACAATTGATGCTAGTTATCATACTATAGCCGGTGCTTTGTCTTAATTAAATAACGAAGGTGATGAAGAAGTTATAACACTTATAACTAGAACTTTGGAAGGTGCGGAATTGAATTATTTCACAACCGAAAAAGAGTTTTTAGCTGTAGCTTGGTCGTGTCTAAAATTGAAAACATATCTAAAAGGTGCGAAAGAAATAATTATACGTACGGATCATGAAGCGTTTAAATTTTTGACTACTTGTAAATTTA